TATGTAATAAATGTGTAAGAAATAAAAAATAGATTGTGTTAATTTAAAACTTATAAAATTTATTATTTTTCTTTTAGAGATGTCCCATAGTGGCGTTTGGAAAATTTCAGTTTTTGATGTAATATATTTAAATATGGAAATATCTGCACAAAATTACAAAGTATGCTTTAAATACTTTAATTTACTATTACAGAATCCTGCTTTTATTCAATTAAATGAATTAAAAACTGAAATCGTTGGCGGATTTCATTTTGATGTTTTTGAAATATTACGAGAAAAATTAAACTTCAAGTAAGTTTAAGTTTACTTTTTTCAAAGATAAGAATTTTTATTAAAATCATTTTTGATAAAATCATTTTTCTTGATTATGAAAAGAGAACAGTACACTTTTGTTAACTTTTGAAACTGAACCCTATGTTTTGTACTAGTCCTTTGTTCGTATAGCACTGATTCGCATAACACGGCCCTTGTTCGGAACCTAACTATCATGTTTTATACGAGGGATAATTCAATTAACATAGATATAAAAATATAATTGATTATTGATTGTTCAAAGACTTTTAATAAAAATTCTGGTTAATAACATATTCTAGTTCTTTCTATAAAAATTTTTCCGCACTTATTTAGTAAAGAGAATAGACCACTTTTCTATTTGACACAACGAAAGCAACGTATAAACTACGGAGTTATAAGTAACCGGAGGAAAAAAAGGTAGTTAACCAGCAAAGCTAATACATGCAGGCGAAGTTTGGTAGGCAGTAGGCATAGTGTGCAGCGAAGAACTAACATTTTGTATATATTTGTCGAAGCATTTTACTTCGAGTTAAGTTTGTTTAAACTCGATATAATTTGAAGAGTAGCTGACAATAGCATATAAATCGATAAAATTATATATATATTGTCATTGATTTCACATTTATGCATTTGTAAACAGATGAACATTTGATGGGCTATCGGCACATGCGTTTTATTTCGTGTTCGGGCTGCCTTAGGGATCTACGACGAGTAAAATATCTTAATAATGGTATTTTGTTAATTCTTTCGGGGAAGGATGCAGAATAGTGGGAAAATTTAAATAATAGGGAAATAGTGGAATGTAAAGTACAGCTGTGAATGCTGTCAAGAAGGAACGTATCCATAAGAACATTTATATGTGATACAACAGACGAACTTGTTTTGTAATTTTAAAATATTATGGTTCTTTTATGGAGTTTATGGCCATTTACTGCTAACTTTAAAATCTTTACTCAGCATTTCTTTGTTTGTAACTTCTTTCTTAATTTTTAAATGTTTATGACATTTTTGTCTTTTTAAATAATATGTTGTGCAACTTTCACTTTTTATAATCCTTTAAGATTTTTTGTTCTTGTTCGTGTGTTACATTTATTTAAACAAAAACATCTGACAAGTGAGATGTAAAAAATCATGACTAAAGCAATCCACAATCGGCTTTACATTAAAAAAAAAAAAATTGGCTTTAAAAATTAAAAATTCTGCTATTGTATGGTTTATCACAGACAGTTTCTGCTTTATTCTGCATAATTTATTTAGTGTTTTTAATTACACTTGCATTCAACACACAAATGTTCTTCGCATTTTTATTGGTTTACCTGATTTTCAATACTATTTATACTGTATATCTTTGTCTAAATCCGATAGATCAGAGCTGAGTTGAACATCAGGCGAATATGAATATCCAAATTTTGCTTGATAAATGATGATTTCTTCGGCGTGAGAAGATAGTTCAGGATAGAAAAAGTCCTTTCCACATCTGCACTGCTAGTAGGAACTGATAAAGCTCTTAATGCCAGCTGACTCAAAATCAGCATTTACTTATAGAGTGTTTCCAGAAATTTATTGTACCATTGCACACTGCTCTGCTTTCATTGATGATCAAAGCATTGTAATATGATATCTCATCCTTCTGTACCTCATATTTGGAGAATCTTCGTAAATGAGAAGTTATACCGTCTATTTCTTGGTTATAATTTGGATCTAGGACTTCAAGCTCTATCCAGAACTGCTATGCTAAATGTTTGCCATCTAGATAAAGTTGGAGCTTCGAACCCGTACAAAGTGGTACATACAGTTACTGAATGCCTCCAAGAATTCGCCAAATATCACTTCCTACAACAGTGGATTGGTATTCAGGCTGTGACTCTAGTTTCTTGATCAAGTTGCGTAAAAGCTTCAGCTTGGCTTGCAACTACGTGTAGCTGTTCTTCAAGTTCGTACTGATCAAGTAACTAGTCGAGCCCGTGCAATACAGCTTCTTCCATAGTCTGATTCTTCTTGTCACTATAGCATCTCATCTCTTATTTATACAAAATTGCTATTTGGTACATTTAGAAAAACATTTTNATGACCTTGAATTGCCACAAACCCTTTCCTGTGGAAAATGCAGTCTTCTCTTTGTCTCTAGGGTCTATTTCCACCTGCCAGTAGCCACTTTTTAGGTCCAGGGTAGTGAACCACTTCATTCCTGTCAGTGTATTCAATGTGTCGTCGATCCTTGGCAGTGGATAGCTGTCCTTCTTCGTAACGTTGTTCAGTCGACGATAGTCCACACAGACACGCATGCTGCCATTTTTCTTCTTTACCAAGACCACAGGTGAACACCATGGACTAGATGAGGGCTCTATAATGCCATTCCTTACCATTCCCTGAATCATGGCATTCACCTCTTGTTCACGTGCCATCGGTAGCCTTCTCGGTCGCTGATGGATCGGTAACTCATTCCCTGTATTTATTTTGTTCCGAACCAATCCTGTCTTCCCTATATCAGCGTCGCTTGACGAGAAAATGTCAGCATATCGAAGCAACATCTTTTTAGCTTTGTTTAGTTCCTCTTCCGACAAATCCTTACGACATTCCTCCAGAAGTGTTGACACATTGAACACGGTTTCTTGTTGGTCGCAGTAGATCGTTGTTGGCATTTACGCATCCAAGCAACTTCTTCACAGGTGCCCATTAAAGTGCCTTTTCCAACAACCTGTTCTCTATCACTCGGATTTAGAACACGTACTGCCGAAATGTCTGTGGCCCTCACCAAGGTTTGTGCCATCTTCCATGGTAGGCCGCAGTCTAAACCCTCTATGAGAACACGATTCTTCTGACCATCGTTATCTGGTAGTCTAACTGGTACGATAGTTTCTGACCTTGGGGGAAGAACAATCTGGTTCAAACAGTGTGCTTCACCCGATGATGCACCTTCCATAAAGAGTTCTGCCGAACCGCATTTTAAAACTCCCTGCTTGACATCAATCTTACAATGATGTTCTCTCATGAAGTCCAAGCCCAGAATGCAATCGTCCTTTATATCGGCAATGATAACCTTATGCCGATAAATCTTGTTGCCTAGTTGCAATTCCACCTCCTTTTCTCCTCGGACAGATATGTGCTGACCAGTCGCTGTTATAAGACGAATACGATCATATCCACTGAAGTAATCTCCAAGAAACTGATTTGCCAGTCGAGAACTGATGACCGTGCGAGAAGCTCCAGTGTCCAATGTCAGCTTACATGGTGTTCCGTTAATTTCACCTTGGATAATCAGGCTATTCCCATCGTGGGCTTGGGAGATTGAGATTCCTAGGGCTCCCTCAAAACCAGCCAGCACCCGCCCCGCAGTCCCGGCGTTTACTCGTTTCCCTGCTGCCACTGCAGCTGGGCGGTGGTATCAGCCTCCTCTACCTCCTGAAGTCCATCCTCCTTTCGGTCTCTCCCAAGGTGTCCTCACTTTGGGCAATTCATCTGCAGGTGGCCCCTTGCTCTACAGTAGTAACACTGGGGACCTGTCGTTACAACCTTCCTAACACGATGGGATCGATCATCGCGTCTTACTGCCTCCACCTCCAAAGCATGGGTCAAAGCGTCCTTCAGAGTTTCATGATGTCCCAATCTAACCGCGGCTCGAACTTCTAGATCTCGTATTCCATCTATGAACGCTTGTACGAGTAGTCCTTCAACCAATGCAGGTGAAGACTGATACGCTTTTCGGACCAGCTTTTCAACTTCCAGTGCCCAGCACTGTAGAGTCTCGGCACTACGTTGCGCACGGTCCTTAAGCTGCGCCCGATACACGTGCTCAAGATGCTTGTCCCCATATCTGGACTCCAATGCCTCCACCAGTTGGTCGTAAGTGATGTCCTTACCGAGGGCCTCTAGTACAGTCAAGGCCTGATCGCGGAGGGCCAACGTGAGTGCTGTCATGGCCTGTGCTTTAGTCCATCCATTCATCATCACCACGGCTTCAAACTGAATTTTATAAGCTGACCATGAAGATGTCCCGTCGAAAGGTGGTACTTTAAATCCACGTACTGCTGGCGTAGATATAACGGGATTGGCATTCCCAATCTCAGATATAAGTTCGACCAAAGCTTTCTCAACATCTGTGATCTTCACTTCAACTTTGGCAATTCGATTCTCATGCCGTTGGACCTGCTCTTCATTATGCTCAACCTGCTCCTTGATTACCTTTAAATCGCTGCCAATCGTAACATGCAGTTCCTTCAGTTGACGTGCCTGCTCTTCTTGGCCACGCTGGAGCTCTTCTTTCATTTGACGTGCCTGCTCTTCTTGGCCTCGCTGGAGCTCTTCTTTCATATTTTTCAACTGACTGGTCTGGTCTTGTAACACCGCCAACAATCCAGATAGGTCCAGCATAGCCGGTGCTGGAGTAGCGCCAGACGTGCTGGCAGTTAAAACAGAGTCAGTTGTTTGCTGTCCATCTAATGTTCGATCAGAAAATTCACTAAAACGCCGCTGATCCATCGCTTGCTGTCGCTGTTGGCTTCGTGTACAAACCCCTTCAGTGTCTTCTTTCGGCATAACCGGAATGATTTATATCGCACTCCTGACACCAATTTGTTACGAGCTATGGGGTTTGGGATATAAATTCAAAATACAGTTTACCGAAATTTTAGATACACTCACTTTTTACACTTTTTACACTTGTTAGATACACTTTTTAGATGCACTAACCACAAAAACTTTATATCTCTCGTTAAAAGATAAACTTCTCCAACGTTCTAATTTTTCGAATTCTTCTTTTCTTTTTCTTTTTCAAAAACATTCTTTTTCGTTTCGCCACTCTCCGCATCATGGTGCTAGTCTGTTTTTAGAGCCAGCGCGACAATACAATGATAAAAGAAAATCTATCTGTAGTATTGTGGGGAGTGTGTGGTGGTAAAACGAGTTTCCTGTATAATTACTTTTGAAAATACCATATATAATATTTATTATTAATTTATGTAATAAATGTGTAAGAAATAAAAAATAGATTGTGTTAATTTAAAACTTATAAAATTTATTATTTTTCTTTTAGAGATGTCCCATAGTGGCGTTTGGAAAATTTCAGTTTTTGATGTAATATATTTAAATATGGAAATATCTGCACAAAATTACAAAGTATGCTTTAAATACTTTAATTTACTATTACAGAATCCTGCTTTTATTCAATTAAATGAATTAAAAACTGAAATCGTTGGCGGATTTCATTTTGATGTTTTTGAAATATTACGAGAAAAATTAAACTTCAAGTAAGTTTAAGTTTACTTTTTTCAAAGATAAGAATTTTTATTAAAATCATTTTTGATAAAATCATTTTTCTTGATTATGAAAAGAGAACAGTACACTTTTGTTAACTTTTGAAACTGAACCCTATGTTTTGTACTAGTCCTTTGTTCGTATAGCACTGATTCGCATAACACGGCCCTTGTTCGGAACCTAACTATCATGTTTTATACGAGGGATAATTCAATTAACATAGATATAAAAATATAATTGATTATTGATTGTTCAAAGACTTTTAATAAAAATTCTGGTTAATAACATATTCTAGTTCTTTCTATAAAAATTTTTCCGCACTTATTTAGTAAAGAGAATAGACCACTTTTCTATTTGACACAACGAAAGCAACGTATAAACTACGGAGTTATAAGTAACCGGAGGAAAAAAAGGTAGTTAACCAGCAAAGCTAATACATGCAGGCGAAGTTTGGTAGGCAGTAGGCATAGTGTGCAGCGAAGAACTAACATTTTGTATATATTTGTCGAAGCATTTTACTTCGAGTTAAGTTTGTTTAAACTCGATATAATTTGAAGAGTAGCTGACAATAGCATATAAATCGATAAAATTATATATATATTGTCATTGATTTCACATTTATGCATTTGTAAACAGATGAACATTTGATGGGCTATCGGCACATGCGTTTTATTTCGTGTTCGGGCTGCCTTAGGGATCTACGACGAGTAAAATATCTTAATAATGGTATTTTGTTAATTCTTTCGGGGAAGGATGCAGAATAGTGGGAAAATTTAAATAATAGGGAAATAGTGGAATGTAAAGTACAGCTGTGAATGCTGTCAAGAAGGAACGTATCCATAAGAACATTTATATGTGATACAACAGACGAACTTGTTTTGTAATTTTAAAATATTATGGTTCTTTTATGGAGTTTATGGCCATTTACTGCTAACTTTAAAATCTTTACTCAGCATTTCTTTGTTTGTAACTTCTTTCTTAATTTTTAAATGTTTATGACATTTTTGTCTTTTTAAATAATATGTTGTGCAACTTTCACTTTTTATAATCCTTTAAGATTTTTTGTTCTTGTTCGTGTGTTACATTTATTTAAACAAAAACATCTGACAAGTGAGATGTAAAAAATCATGACTAAAGCAATCCACAATCGGCTTTACATTAAAAAAAAAAAAATTGGCTTTAAAAATTAAAAATTCTGCTATTGTATGGTTTATCACAGACAGTTTCTGCTTTATTCTGCATAATTTATTTAGTGTTTTTAATTACACTTGCATTCAACACACAAATGTTCTTCGCATTTTTATTGGTTTACCTGATTTTCAATACTATTTATACTGTATATCTTTGTCTAAATCCGATAGATCAGAGCTGAGTTGAACATCAGGCGAATATGAATATCCAAATTTTGCTTGATAAATGATGATTTCTTCGGCGTGAGAAGATAGTTCAGGATAGAAAAAGTCCTTTCCACATCTGCACTGCTAGTAGGAACTGATAAAGCTCTTAATGCCAGCTGACTCAAAATCAGCATTTACTTATAGAGTGTTTCCAGAAATTTATTGTACCATTGCACACTGCTCTGCTTTCATTGATGATCAAAGCATTGTAATATGATATCTCATCCTTCTGTACCTCATATTTGGAGAATCTTCGTAAATGAGAAGTTATACCGTCTATTTCTTGGTTATAATTTGGATCTAGGACTTCAAGCTCTATCCAGAACTGCTATGCTAAATGTTTGCCATCTAGATAAAGTTGGAGCTTCGAACCCGTACAAAGTGGTACATACAGTTACTGAATGCCTCCAAGAATTCGCCAAATATCACTTCCTACAACAGTGGATTGGTATTCAGGCTGTGACTCTAGTTTCTTGATCAAGTTGCGTAAAAGCTTCAGCTTGGCTTGCAACTACGTGTAGCTGTTCTTCAAGTTCGTACTGATCAAGTAACTAGTCGAGCCCGTGCAATACAGCTTCTTCCATAGTCTGATTCTTCTTGTCACTATAGCATCTCATCTCTTATTTATACAAAATTGCTATTTGGTACATTTAGAAAAACATTTTTCATTTACACAGTAATTATTTTGATAAGCATTTTATACGTGCAACAAGTTTGTATAAATTTTATTTGAATTATCAAACTGTAGACTTCTTTCTTAATTAAATTAAATAAAATATTGTACTGTATTTCTTTTAATGAAAACAGTGCTGCTGCACAGGCGTAGAGCCTACGTTTTAGCGAACTATTCAAAAGTTCTATTTTTATTCAGAAATTTTCTGTGCGTTATACACAGCAGTATATGGTACATTTATTTAATTAATTTATGTTTGAATAAACTTTCCATTATGTATGAGTATGAAATAGCGGACGTATTACAGCTGCTTACACTTAAAACACTAATATCGATGAACATTATAGAAAATCGCTGACAGAAAGCGCTATGGGTGGGTTGTGACGCGAACAATGAAGGACAGTGTCCCCGGCTGTAGAAAAATGACTGAGAACTGGAAATAAAGATAATTGTCTTTCCAGTGTTGTTTTGTTACATATCTGGCGACAAGGATCAAGGTTGGCATAAGAACCAGTGTTTCGGCGCCTATAGAGAAAAAAAGGGGTAAGATGTAGGAAAGGGAATGTTTTTATTTTATCGCCTTCGAGAAAGATAAACAGGAGTGGGCGTGCTATCTTTTTTAGTTTTACAGGATGTGTAAGGTGAAGGAAGAAGCAGCAGAAAGCGTGTCAGGTCAGACAAGAATTGTTATTAGCATTTGTGGGCACTGGTCCCCTAACCGAAGCGCGCAACAATTTTTTTCCATTGGAGATCGATGCTATGTGAGAGAAAGACCTGAAATAAGGGTGAAGAACATTGTTTATGCCCGAGACAACAGTGTTTCAGCATGCATGGCTTTCAGCAGGATATGAGAGATGCAGACAAACCTTTCCGAGCCTTCACTACTAGAGTGAAAGAACTCAGTCATCATTGTGATACACTGGAATGCTGTACGATGGGCTTTGGGATCGTTTTGGTGAAGGGTTGTGACACGAAAAAGCATTGCGAGAGATTAGCATTAGGTTGCCAGAAGAAAAGGTTACTGATAGGCTGATAACCTACAAAGAGGTGTTGGACCTGGCCATCGAAATGGGATTAGCAGAGGCTGAAACAGTGGAACTGAAATCAACAGTAAATAAGGTGCAGCCTATTGAAAACTGACAAAGAAGAATGTCCCAGCTATCATGTGACAACTGTGGTTTCAGGCATGCCCCACAAGGAAAATGTTCCCACCAATGGGCAACATGTTTTAAGTGTGGGGAGAAAGGTCATTCTGTAAGTAGATGCCCTCAAGGCAAGCCAATAAATTCACTGGGACTGGAGAAGCCCAAGCCCCTAAAAGTGAAAAAGCTCCTACTGAAGATTCTACTGATCAGAATGTTCTCTCAGATTCAGGCTTTAAATATAGCGCAAAGTCCAAAGAGGTGCCGTATTTAATTAATATAACTTATAATAATTGTTTTCATGAATATTAATAGCTCATTCAGTTGTAAATGAAAATATTTTGTACTGTATTTGACAGCAGGGCCCGCTCTAGCGGTTACGTCACCCCAGACAAAAAGACAAATTGCTGCCCCTTAAGAATATACATATTTTAAAATAAAGGTACATAATCAATAAAAATCAAATCATTTTATTTAAATTTTAATAAAAGCATGTATTTAGAAAGAAACATATAATATAACATTAATAATCAAGCAGTACAAAACAGTAGAAATCAATTAAGAAATATCTGTACCTAGCCACAAATTGTTAACCATATAATTTTTTACATTTTTAAATCCTTTTAAAAATGTATTATTGCACAATTAAAATGCCATTATTTTGAAAATAAAACAAGTCCGCTAAAAGCACAAAAAACTTTTTTTCTTACTTTCAGTTCTGAAAACTTTTTTATTGCATCTTTCAAATTTACTCGATCAGCAATTTCATGCTCAATTGCCAACACGGCCAAACCGATTTTGTGTAGTAGAAAGTTCTTAATTAATTTTAACTTAGAGAAACTCCTTTCGCCACTCGCTACACTTATTGGTATCGTTAGCAACATTCTTAAAGCAATAGTAAGATTTGGGGCAAAATTTAACTTTGTAATTAAGCTCAGTACATTGCTTAGGCTTTCTTTTTTGCCCATAAGTCCAGATACTGCCGAAATTTCCTCCGCTAATTCTACCCCATTTATGACAACAGAATCACCATCAGTTAAAATGCATTCTAAATTCTTACAGTGTTTTAGTAGCACTTCTTTGGACACGATATTTAAATCGTATATATCATATAAGAATTGAAAATAGTTACTATGGTTACTAAGTTGTTCAAAACTAGCATCTAGTGCATTTAGTGCTTGATCGATTGTAAAAGAAAAAAAAATCTATTTTATATTCTTCTTTTAGATTCATCTCGTGCTTCATATAAGATGTTCCTTTTCCTTCCTCTAACGTGGTGTCGTTATTGTTGATCCAAAATTAGCCTCCACATGAATTTCGGAGTTCTTTAGCGAGGAGCCTCCACATTAGCGAGTTCTTTTGCATCAATAATAGTTTCATCAAAGGACGAATCCGATCGAAGATTCTTAAAAATATTTTGCAGTTTTGTAAAAGATCGAGTGCAAAGGCTAGATCAAAATCTTTTGTTTGCATCAACTAGCTTATTGGATTAATTGAATTTAGTATTTTATGCCAAATAACTAATGAACACAAAAACTTAAATTGTTTAATACAATTCGATAAACCCGACGCCTCGTCTCTTATTAAATTATCAATTTCTTGGTTTTCGTAAATGCTTAGCGAGGCGTCGTATACATCTCCCAAATAAAATCTCAAAGGCTTTAAGGTCTCTATCCTACTCTTCCATCTAGTGTCACTCGATGGTTTCAAAGTTAAACCTCGAACATGTCTTAAAAGCATTGCCCACCGAAAAGTAGATGCCAAAAAAATACTGTAAATATATTTTTTGGACCGTGTTGAAGAAATTAGCGCCTTCCGAGAATGCTTTTGCCATATCATTAACAACAAGATTGGCTACAACACGAACATAGAATGCTCGCGAATTATATTGTTTAATTCTAGATTGCAATCCCGCTTTATCGCCCCTCATACTGGATCCCTACCCTCTGATATCCTGCAAATTTAAACCCGAGTCATTAAGTTCTCCAATTACAATATCAGACATTTGTTTTTCTGTGGATCTTTCGACTGGTAAGAAGCCTAAAATGCTTTCATTAATTTTAATTTCAACATCGGCGTCAAATTTATTGATTAAAACATATCTGATTACAAGAGTCATTTGCTCTACCTTACTAATGTCAGGAGTACAGTCTAAAATTATGGGAAAATATTTCGGTCTTTTTATTTCATCAATAATATGAGACTTTACACTTTGATGAAGCAGATTTTTTATCTCGTTTTGTATATTTTTCCCAAGATACTGAGCTTTACTCTCTTCTTTTTTAGCACTCTACGGACGTGCTCTTCCATAATGGGATCAATTGAGAAACTCAACTATTTTTAAGAAATTACCGTTTTTATACTCAAACAACTTGTCGCTTGTACAGTACCTTGAAAAGCCAGACCACTTTTACCGAGCATTTTCGTAATTTCTACGATTTTTAGAAGCACCTCGTTCCAATGATTTGTTTCGGCATTAATAATTCTTTGAGAGGCCGCATCTATAGTTTTACAACACTTTAACCTTAGGTTCATTTCTAGCCATGATTTTTGGGCCCGAATATGATTTTTGGAAATTTCATGCTCTTTTAAAGTTTTGCAGAGGTGCTTCCAACTTATAAAACCCTCCTTTGAAAGAGAACTAATTATTCAGCCGAAAATTTTGCAACAGAAGCAGTAAACGCAGTTTTGTGAAAGAGAGTACACTAGCCAGTCTCGTAAAACGTGCTCTCCATTGCTTAAAATTCGTGAGTAAATTTACGCTAAAATGTCGACCAGTGTCATTGGAAGGTAATTATGCAATGGTTTAGGTGGACCTTGTCTTACTAAAAAACTTCTTTCAGCGTCTCCTAAAATTCTTGGCCACAACGCTGGATCTGTACTCAAAGTTTGTAGAACGCTTTCTGTGTCAATTTTTTTAATCTGGTGATGATAGAGTCGGAGTGTCGTCAGTTCCAATTGATTTAGAAATTTCGTCCATTTGTTTGTCATCATCATTCTCTGACGATTTCGTATTTTCTTTTATAACAGGACTCGATGTTGGATTCTCAGAGTCGTCATTTGTTTTGGTACAACTCTGGATATAATTTTTTAATGCGCTAGCTTGTTTTTGCTTTTTGGCTTCCTTTTCCAGCCTCCTTTTTTGTTTTGGTAATCAGACAGTTTTGTTTGACCGTTAGACATTTTGGAAGAGGCACGCACATAACTCAAATTAAACAATATAAATTATAAAATTTTAAAAAAATAAAGATTTGTCCTTGTTCTAAATAAACTAAAACTGTAATAAACATAACTTCAAAATTATATTCTGTCAATGGACATAAAAAATATTTATGGCTTACACGTAATATTTTTCGTATTTTGTGAACGTAAAGAAAGTCTAGTGTTTCATATATGTATTTTATAATAACAAATATTTTGGCAAACCATAAATAGTCATTAAAAACAATTTTATAATTATTGATTTTGAGATTTTATTTAGTTCAATTATTCAAATATATTATTACAAAACGCGTTTTATCGAAGTAATGAACTTAATAAATGTTTTATATTATTGATTCAAATAATTATTTTTATAAAACAAAAATATAAATAATTATACCCGTAGAATACATTTAATTTTAATACAATATTTTATTGATTTAATAAACAGCCGTTGTGGATAAATTATATATATTTTATTTAATAACGCTTTTATTGTTTCAATTCGATAATCGATTTACGATAAACTAGTATCTATCAAACTAAACAACGGCTTAATTATAGATGTACAGTAGTTACCGTTAAAAACTAAGAAATGGCATTAAGTAAATTTTATGAACTTCCACTTGTTATCACTGTCAACGTAATCTCAAGAATAATGCTATTGTGTAATGAAACCGCTCTTTTATAATTAGAGGTAAGTATTAATATAAGTGAGTCTATGCGTGTTCAAACACGAGCTGAAGCAACGCTCTGCTTGTGTGCTAATGCTATTCTGTTCAGAGAAATATATGCGTGTTCAAACAAGTTCGAGCATCGTCCTTTACAAATTCTGCGTTAATAGTGTAAATATTTTTAGCTTTTAGAAAAAAACAATATAAATACGATATGCACTAAATTTTTAGAGAAGAAAAAATCGATACGTGAAATTTTCTATTAATTGAGTATTCGACACATCAATATTTTTCTCACACTTACAGCCAAAATGGCGCCCCTTAGAAAGGACCCTGATGCTATTATAAGTCAACTAACGAAAGTATTTTTGATATTAGTTTCGTCCTTTTGCAGTTAATACAGTGTCAGGTAATGGAGAACTCACTGTGTATTTTCAATAATAACATGATATTTCTTGTATTTGCAATTAATAAATTTTTGCTAAAAATTTATTAATTTCTAAACTAAATATCCACCGACAAGTTACTTAAATTCAGCATTTAGTGGCGCCATCTGTTATCATATTTTATTAAAAATCATTTAATATTTTTAAATATTATAAAACGGCAAATCTTTAATTTCGACGGGTTTTATAAAAATTTTAAATGCTAATAACGAGTAAAATCGTCATTAAGTCCGACCCTACTGGAGATACAAACGACCCTCATTATCTCCCCACCTCTCACCCTTTAACCACCAAAACTAAACAGTATGAATCTCTCTAATAAACAAACCTCCCTGCAAAATTTCAGACATTTTCGACGGAATGCACGGGAGTTATTAAGGTTCAAAGAGGGTGAACAATATCGTTTATCCCATACATATATGCACTAATATCCATCCATACAGAAATAACCGGCCCAAATTTTTTACAATTCTTTAAGTTTCAAGGTGTTTTGAGTCCAAAAATGTAAAAGGCTTTGGAAGTCATTTTTTGACTGAGGGCCATACTTTCCCTCTGTTATATATAACAGTCCGGGAAATAAAATATAAATAAGCTAAATTTTGTCCTTTTACCGCCGCCCAACCGAAGGGAAATAGAAATATTTGCTAAATTTCCGATTGTTGCAAACTTTGCGGCATCTGCACACTCCCCTCACAAAAGTTGCATGTGTCTGTGCATATGCCTGACCTACAAACTTTTTACAGCTTCTGTAAACTTTGTGCCTTACTGATGCTATCTGTTTACGACTTAATTGAAATAGTCTTTTTATATTCATAGTTTATTTGCAAAATTGTCAGGTTTTTTCTTGCTAAGTTTAACATCTGTATTATCAAAACTTTTTAAAGTCAACCGTAATTTATTTAAAAAATTATAGTGTGTCACAGGAATCGTATTAAATTCAGTGTTTCGCTAATCAAAAATGGTTGAGATTTCACCTAAACTTTATTAAATAGGTTTAGAATGTTGAAAATAAATATATAATATAAATATTCTTTTAAACATTTTATAGATATGAAATTGTTCATCCAGTGCCAGTTACGTATGGATTAAAGATGGAAGCAAATGGCACATATACTGGAAGTTTATCACAACTGGTTTATCAGGTATTCATAATTACAATATAATAATTTAAACCCTTTTACAATAGTTTAGAATATCAATTTTTTAATTAAAAATACAGTAAGACCCGTTTAACGCTGCTTCGATTAACGCCGATTTGATATAACGTGTCTGCTAGAAGCCTTAAAAAAAGCTCAAAATTTCACTGATCCAAATTATCGCGGCATTTCATTGATTCATATATTAAACGATTATTTCCAAACACGAACCAATCAGCAAAAGATGGCAATTCGTTGTAGTGCTGCACTTTCCTTAAATTTATGTTTGGTGCAAGTTTGGAAAAAAATATAACATCATAGATTTCATAGGCTTGGCAAGAATTAACTGATAAATACATGAAAGGAGTATGGAAGAAGGTATGGTTGTAGGTGACAAAAATTCTCAGCGATAAGAGCCTATCGCAGTATCGTTAGGTTAACCAAATCGTCACCTAATCGATACAGCAGGTAGAAGAGCAGGATATCAAGTAGACTTGTTTATAGCATGGAAAGAAGAGACTGAACAAAAGTCACATGTTAAATTTGTTAAAACTATCAGAGGTCCCGATTCAAGGTATGCAGGACAAGTCAAACTGTATTTTTCTTGTCACTGTTCTGGAATATATGTACCCAAAGGCAATGGAATTAGACATCTCAAGACTCAAAGTAGCAGCAAAATAAATGCTTACTGCCCAGCAGGAATGAAGGTAATTCAAAAAGAAAATGGTGAATGTACTGTGAAATTCACAAAAACAAATGTGGTCATGATATAGACATGGGACATTTAACTTTAACAGCATCACAACGTTTCCCATTAGCAAGTAAAATAGCTGAAAAAATACCACTGGATGTTATCCTTGATGAAGTCAGAGATTTTCTTTCTGATTCTACACTTCACAGACTATATAAGTTAAAATAACTGATCTCTACAACATTGCAACATTGAACAAGTATATAATTTGCAAAAAGATATTGAGCAGGATATTGAGGAGTTACCGCAGGTTTCTGACGAGAGCCTTACCAACGACGATCTTCAAGAACTGGCAGAACATGGAATTTGCGTAGAACTGGAAAATAGTGATTCTGAAAACGAAGAACTCAAAGAATTTCTCTGCAGATTTCCTAAGTAAAAGTTTGATAACGATAACCGAAATCGTTGATCAAACTGTAGCGATCGATCCAGATTTTGGAAGGAGTGAAAAAGCGAGACGAGGCGATTTGGATGCGATCTTCCGCTACCGACGTTTGCTTAAGGAAAAGAAAAAAGCGACAAATGAAACTACACGACTTTATGGCAAAAACCAGGAATGTCAGGAGAGCCAGGACCTTCGTCACAAAAACTAAACTTTACATTTCTGAGTGCATATGTTTTTGTGTTATTTAACATATATTATTATGCAAATTAATATAAAAGTAACTTAAAATTGAAGTAAAATCTGTTTATTTTTGGTGGAGTGTTTCCTTTTCCCTATTTGTTCTGTGCTAAAATGACTTCGTTTAAAGCTGTTTCATTTAGCGCTTTGTCGTCTAGGAACATATCCCCCGTTAAGCGGGATCTTACTGTACATGTTAAAATTACAGGTTAGCCCAAAACTTACCTACAGATGTTAAACCACGAGTATTAAAATTCATACTCCGATTACAAATCAATGTTTGACACCATTCATATTACAATGTCTTCAATATCTTTATTAGCCTCCACTCTAACAAACGTTCATCATGGAAAAAACACCACGGAAAAGAGTAGATTCGTAGAATAAGGGAAACCAATAAAAATTACTTCCATGAAGATAGATGCAGTTCTTTTTAGGTGTTAAACTTGAGATGCCGTATTTAATGCTTAAAGAAAATCTATTTTCAGAAAACTACTTGCGACCAACTTATTACTTAGGCGCAAATCCGGGACCAAGTACAGTGGTCCTGGTCGTATTCACTCAGTCGTTAGTGCACACAATAAAAAATTAACTAGTGTTCTTCACGTTTGAGTTCTATGCACTTGTAGGATACCTAAACATGCAGGATCGAAATCAACATGTTATCCGTGGAAGCGCATAACTCATCTATAGATTGATGGTAAAATTTTCGCTATTCTGAAAGTCATTCTTAAAAGATTGATGGCAATCTTTTGGTTATAAGGGGAAAAAACTGATGATGCGCACACGATTTGTAATACAGTAGATTCCCAATAACACGGTAGATACGTTCTGTGTTTTATGAATTCCATGTTGTACGAGTCACATAAATACATGAGCCAATCACAGCCTGGCACGTGTGTAGTTTACGGACTACGGTCGTTTGAAAGGTTTTCTTCCATAAACTTAATCGATTCTAGACTAATTTGACTCAAAATTTCCAAAACACGTATAATATTTTGGGAATAATCCATATAAACTATGCTATAAACAAAAAATTGTAGGATTACTTACCGAGCGTGCACCGTTCGACGACGCCATTGCCTAAGCTCGTTTTCGTCGCGGAGAGGCGCATCGAACGGCGGGCGCGTGTTTCCTGATAAGTTATTTTTTTGCGAAAAATTCGCTGAACTTTGGAGACATTATTAATATAAATATAATTTTCATGGCCGTTAAATAATAAATGGTTTTTAGTAGGTCCGCTGCTCGTTTAAACTTAACGGTTTGTGCAATCAACTCAATTTAGATCAATATCGTTATTGGTCTAGGTTCGACCAATCTTGTCACGACACGAGTCGGCAATGACGTTTTATCATATTACACGAGTCTTTTAACGTGTTTATACGAATATGATCGCAATTTTTTCGCCGTTTTATACGAGTCCGTATTATATGAACCCGTTTTATAGGGGTCTAGTGTATCTTTGCCGATTACTACAGATCCATAAATGGTTTCGCACCAGATGTGTGCGGCAGTGTCAACTTAGAGCAACATATAGTAATGTTGCTTTATATGGGGAAATACGCTTTTAAACTTCGAACATATCAGATGTGATTTAAAAACTTTTGTTCAGGAATTTTTAATGATAGAAGTCGTACCGGACACTCAATAGCTGTGGACCAAGAAAATTAGCAGGAAGAAAATGTTAAAAGTCAACGAACAACATTCAATATATATAAACAAACACATTAAAAATAAAGCGAAAATTGCACTAAAACACACGAGCAACAGATGACTTGGTAACACGTTGCATTGTGTTTAAACTTCACGTGCTTTTTTTACACTGTGCAAGCAGATCGAACTTCGAAACATCGTTCGAATTCCGAGGCGAATTTTTATCGAATTTAGTGTTCGAAGGTAGAGTTGTTTGAATTAAGATTGTTTGAAGTAAGAGTGTTATTTAGAATAAGAATTTTTCGATTATATGTCTTAATGTTTATTTTTTACCTGTCTCTACTGTTTTTCTGCCCATTGCACATTCGTTGTTGTTTTTGCTTTTACTTTTGCTTTTGCGTAAGTCTCTTATGAAGCAGTTTTTTCGTCTATTGTGACATTATCTATATTAACAATTAGATAAAGAATTTATTTTATTTTATGAAATTTTATGGCATTTATTTACTACAACGTGATATTATTTTTACTTATAATTGTAATGTCGTTATATTCGTAGAAATCAGATTTTTCATTCCTGCCGTATACTGTAACATACGATCGATTTGATTTGGTAGATTTTTCGTCCATTATAGGAATTTATAAAATAATCTTTACATTACTACAAAGAAAAGATAAATCTGACTGGAAAACAATCATCAAGCCTTTCTCTCTTGAGGTATGTTTCACATAATAATTTAATTTTTTTTTTTTTTTTTTTTTTTTAAAGTTTATTATGACTTCTAAATACGTTACAATATCAGCTACATGCTGCAATATTTATACAGTAAAAATCTTTTTCCGTACATGTGATATTACCTTTTGGGTGAACATTTTCACCACTTTAAATTACATCTAGCTCACAACCCCTCTTGTTCAGTATTTACAGGTTTTATTTACATTATATACATATTGAGGGATTTGTGATAACATACAACTTTTTCCTCTACGCTTTTTAATATCTTATGTTTCGTTACATTTAAGTTTAATATTTTACATAGGCTTTACTAGTTGGACTCTTCTATATTTCATAAAAAATTAAAATACAGAGACTTATATATAATAGTATAACATTTTGAATTGTTGGGAGATTTTTAGACCGATATTCAACACTTACATATTTATTTATTATGAGAGGATTTACTCTCTCTTACATTTATGTAATTTATCTTGCAATACAGCACGATATAATTATCTTACTCGTTTTCTTTACTTTTATTTAGTAACAATTTTATTCTTTTATAATAACAGGTATTAATATTTCAGGTACATGAGACATATTTATTACCAATCATCTTTAAATATCACTTTGTTTTGCTGAATACGAAATATATTTTCAGTTCCTTTGTAGTATTTTTTTATTTCGTTATTTGTCATTGTTTTAAAATCACTTAAAATTTTTAATTCAGCCTCCTGTTTGATGTTACTGACCGTGATTGACGCGTTTAATTTTTTCTTTTCATACATTAATTTGCATCTTGTTTTCCATAGGGTTCGTTTTGTGAGAGCGATTATCCAATTTAACATATATTTATTTTGGTTGAGGACCGAGAGTTTTGTTTGATATTTTATAATTTGCCAGGTTATTTTCACTTTCCATGTTTTCGCTACCCNATTATTAAAGACTTCGATACAAAAATGAAAATTTGTGAATTGACAAAGAAGTTTGATCTACCGGAATTGTCGGTCAGAACAATTATAAAAGGCAAAGAAAAAATTCTCGAAGCTGTGAGAAATGCTCAATCTTTAAATTCAAGCATCATTCCTAAACGTCACAGTATTATCGCTGAGATGGAAACAATGTTAAAATTATGGCGTAATAATCAAGTAAATGTGAAAAATTGTAAAATAATATAGGCCTAATTTGTTATACATATGTATTATTTAAGATTTTATTAAACATTTTTTTCTAAATCATTGTTTTCTTTAGTCTCCGGCCCCAATTAATAATTATTTGTACGTATTTATATGCGAAATTATACCCCGACTTACGCGAATTCGACTTACGCGGTTACCGCTCGGTCCCACCTATTGCGTAAGTTCGGGGTATTACTGTATTTAAAACAGTCTTGATAATACAGGGTGAATTTTTTATCTTGAGACAATGAAATAACTTAATTGGATCTCATTATTTCGAAAAAAGGTTTAGACAAAGGTTGTAGGGTTTTGAAGGGACAATGAATTGGTGACCTTGGAAGTGATCTTGATGACTTTTCAAATGACCTTGATGGCCAATGTCATTTGAAAGTCAAGTCTGTTTTTTCAACGGGAATACATATTTTTGACCCCAGCAATGGAAAAAGTGGGACAATCACCCATGACCTTGAGTACACCGAATTTGTTATCTGAAGGTCATCTGAAGCGCAATTATTGAAGTACGACTCAACAAATGCATGAAAGTGGAAGGGCATTATTTAGAACATTTGTTATAAAATTTTTTTTCCCAAAACCAATATCTCAAGAAATGGTAGAAGTAAAGTGACTCTCTGAAAACAAGCACCCCAATAGTGAGAGGCAAGGGAACACAGAAAACAACACCTCAAAGGGAGCAGAAAACTACTACATCCACAGCGTTACTCCTGGGTAGTGCTACAAGTAGTGAATGCTTTCAAAGGTCAAAGTAATAAGGTTGTGAAAAAATGTAAATTTTACCTCCCTGTCTATTTAGTGATAAAAAGTATGGCTTCCGTTAGAAAAAGCTTTTAATTTTAACCTTAAAATAATCTTGACCTTTGACCTAGACCTTAAGATGAAGTGTATATTTAATTGTGAAATTTTCCACTCTCCATTGCTGGGGTCAAAAATGAAAAACAGACTTACCCTTCAAATGACCTTGAAGGTCAAGGCCAAGGCCACATCCAAAGTTACCAATTGATTGGCCATTCGAAATTCCACAAGTAAACCTTTTTCCAAAATATCATAAATATACATATACATATAACTAACACCTCATTGTTGCCGAGAAATATAAATTTATTCCAAACAAACGTTTTCAACCCGATTTACAGGCTATCGTCAGGTTTATAACCAAATTCGAATTAAAGGATTCCATCAATGGAATACAAAATTCAAAATTCCAAAATTAACTAAGCAATGGAATAAGATAAAAATAAAATAAAAATATTAAATATCCAACGGAATAACAAAACAAAAAAATATATATATATATAAAATGTACATAGAAGTATTAACACAATTATTATGATTGGTTAGAGCTCTTATTAAACTTCTTAACTATAAACTTCCATGCAGAGGGAAGACTTTCTGCATCTCTGGCATTTAAACAGCCTTCCTGCATTTTACTCCTATAAATCTGCAACTTTCTTTTTCCAAAATTATGAGATCCTATCCACCTTTCTCTCAGCAACTGCAATTAATTCTAATAACACACCTGAAATTTTGCCGAGCATAAAATTAATAGCCTGAAGATAATCGTAAGCCTGAAGATGGCTTATAAAAATAGGTTGAAAACGTTTGAAATAAAATAATTTTATGCTCGCCAAAAGTTTAGGTGTGTTATAATTAATAATGAGATCGATTTAAGTTACTTTATTGTCTCAAGATGAAAAACACACCCTATATTTTTGATATATATTCTATATATTATAACAAGTAGAACGGCAAAGCCATATTTGGGACAAAACTATGTATTGGAGACTCACTACTAAGCAGGATCACTTTGACGCTCAAGATGGGTCTCGTTCTCATTCTCTAATTTTCTTTGATATCGCTGGTTTAGAGCATGATCTTTCAAACATTGCTGGCCTCGGCCGCGGCCGCTGCCACGAGGTCGTCCACGATGCATTTTTTGTAAAATTAATCTATCCAATTTCGAAATTTCTCTTCGTTGAATTTTCCTGTTTTTAAAAAAATAATCCTGGCTTTAAAAAATAATATTGTCTGAAATTATTATTTTTTATTTTGCAAAAACTATATATATATAGTTTTTGCAAAATATATATGTATATATTTTGCAAAAATGTATATGTGTGTATATATATATACACACATATATTAATAAATGTAAAAAGAAAACAAATTGTATTTCAGAAGATAGTTTTAATATAAAATTATAACGACTAGCGCCATCTACTTTCAAAAACGTTCCGATGCTGAAACGAGATATTTCGGGTCAACCGGTGGAGGTCAGCACGTGGCGACCAGAGATATATTGGGAATAACTCGGGACAGGTAAATGGGTTTTTTCAAAGATTTGTTTTTCAAATTCGATTTCACAACGTTCGCATTTCCAACTTCCCAACCAGCAATGCATGCTCAAATCTCGCACTACTGCCTATTTGTAGTGTCGCCATTTTGTATTTTATTTTGACTTGGTTCTCAGTCCGGAGTATCTGCAAGTCTGGTTCTTTTTATGAGTGCATGATTTGGGACCTAATATTCTGTTCCAAATTGCATCTCCTGACATGTACTGTACTCCTTCATACCACTAAGCTGGTAACTCAGCCGGCACCGCAATTTAATAAACAAGACATAGTCTTTTCAAAAAGAATCTGCGAGAACTTTGCTGTATAAAGACAAAATTGACATACAGACAAAATATAAACGTGACTATTCTTATCTTAAGCACCACACGTAATCACAATGCTTTGTAAAATTGGTGACGATAGTTTCAATTACTCCACAAACAAAAACAATTTTAAGAATCTGCACTTGTTATGACAATATTTGTAACAGTGTATTAAGGTACTAAAACGACAGCAAAACAGTGCAAAAAACAATAGGAAAATAAGAATCGACAAACTCACTTAGTAAAAACTAAGACGCTTTGTTTTCTAGGGATAAATAACAACCACGTTTTAGTTAAGGTTTGTTCGTTTTTGATGTAGAATCACAATGTGATGTAAACGGAGTTTCCGTTTAGGAAAACGAAGTTGATTCCGTTTTCACTGTCTGTAACGACATCTATGATGAAATCGATAATGCCATCTTGTGATTCCTTGCTACAGAACACTTTTTGTTCAGGAATTAGCACAGTATATTTTCTATATACACAATCAATTCAAGCTTCTAACAATTGAACAACTATATTGTAGATTATGAAAGAGGGCACCAGCTATACATGGTCTTGCATGGACGACTAGCACAACTCGTGGCGGAATGCCATTGGGCATTCTGCCACGAGGTGCGCTAGTCTTCCATGCAAGACCATGTAATTACTTTCTGTCTTAAGACATAAAGAAAAATGAATTTGTAATATATAATATTAAATAAGTAATTGAAACATTGCTTTATCAAAAATATTTTGAATGTAAATAGAACTTTCATACTAAACATATTTTATTTTAAAGATTTGGATTGGAATCGCATTTTCCATGCTGTTTTCTGGATTATTAATACCATTTTTAGTGAAATGCGAACAGCAATTGCTGAAAAAACGAAATTATTGTTCCGTAAAACGAACGATGTGGTACCTTTTCGGGACGCTTACTCTTAAAGGTAATATTAAATGACTTTAATGTTTTAAATATTTTTCAACTAATGTTTATTATATACAGGCGGAAATATAGACATGATAAAATGCCCTTCGTCGAGGCTTCTCGTAGGGATTTGGTTGTTGTGCGTCGTGACTCTCGATTACAGTTATGGTGGACTTTTAACGTCATATCTGACGGCTCCCGTTTACGAACAAGTTCCGACGAATTTTAACCAGTTAGTCAGTCTTTTGAAGAAAAACCAATTTGCTTGTGGATCTGATAATCATGGATATCTACCCAAATATATACAGGTAAAACTTTATGAATAACTCAAAAATGAAAAATCTGTCTTTAATTTTGAAACATTTAATTTAAATTAAATATACATGAATACTAGCTGTTACCCGCGGCTTTGCCCGCGCGGATTTTGCAAGCAAACCCCATTTATATTTAGTATTTCAACAACCATAGTAATTGTTATATAACACCTACCGCTGAGAATGATGAGAATTGCCGAAAATCAAACGAACCATTTTCAATTTGATCAATTTTCTGGAACATTTACAATCGTTCTGTAATCGAACCAATATGCAATAACAAATTCGAATTTAAAACGGTTCGAACATTTTTAAAATTGAAATAGACAAAAATATTTATAACAATGTATGAAATGCTATTAATTTAATACACCTAAGTACTCGATGAAGACTAAATCCTCTCCCTCTCCCCCCGCGGAAAAATTTCGAAAAATCCCTTGTTAGTGTGCATTGCCATGGCATACCCTACTAACTCGCAGATAAAAACAAAAAATCGCATCTAATATAGTACAGTAGAAGCCGTTTTTTCGGTTAAGCCTTAATGTTCTCCCTCTTCCCCCGCGGGGGAACTTCGAAAAATCCCTTCTTAGTGCGCGTTTTCATGACGTACAGTACCCTAACTGTGTACCAAATTTTACCTTTTTAGGTTCAGCGGTTTGCTCTGGGCGATGATAAATCGGCGAGTCATTCAGTCAGTCAGGACAAGCAATTTTATAGATTTATGTAGTTTAATTATAACAATGACAGACAATGTCAAACAATATCAAAATTTTAAAGATGTATAAATAATTCTAATAGAGCGAATAATCATCTGTAATAAATACACATCGGAGACTTGTTACGAAAATAAAATTTTTGATTAAGGACATTCGTAGTTGCGTGCAATTCTCAGGAATAAAGACGTGTCCTGGACGGTTATTGGGAAAGAATAATAGAGAGGTTGCGGCCCAAGTTCAAACGTTACTTGTACGTGGCAAGTATTAGTACACTGTTTACGTTTTAACTCCAAGAAAAAATCGAAGGTAAATAAACAAATTATACTATTTTAAAGTATTTATAGGATGTTTAATAACACTAAATAATTATTTTTAATTAGCGTGGTGTCTCCTACCGTACGATCGGACGATTGGACTACCTCATACTTTTGTGGAGGGAAGTAGTGGCTTATGTAAATTCGAAAGCGGCTCGGAAAATTAGTTTTTAGAAAATTTACAAACGTATTACGCTGTTATTGGTCGAAGATGCCGTGGAAGAACAAACTTACCTTAAGATAAGCTATTACGAAGGCAAATATATGTAAATTCTGTAGGCACTTCGCATCGCTTGCTAAAAAATTGAATAATTAAATAATTCCTGGATTAAAATCGTCTGTTTCTTTACAACATTATTTGTAAATGCTTAAATAATCATTATTTTATTAAAATAGGTCATAATTTTAACCCCAAACACAAAAAATGAAGAAGTTTAAACCGATCTTTTACTCGCCACGCTAGACGTAACGAACGCCATCATCGATCGTCTAGAATTGCCAGATGGCGGCACTCGACCGTCCGCCGTTCACGTTTTGGGCCGAATACGACGGCCGCAACCTCTCTAATATTTATCATACGTTTGCTGGAAAATCCACAAATGTTTTACAGAGGAATTGAGCATTTCATTTTCAATCTGATGTTTTATTTCATTATAATTTTTTAAAGGAATTAGTCAGTTTCAGTTTCTGGTCGTATTCCAAAGCATCCCAATATGTTTTTGAGCTACTATCGATTTTATTTCGGTGACATGTAAATCGGTGTGTAGTGCTACATTTTAATCGGTGGATGGCAGATTCCTTCTGGTGATTTTGACTGCATTGATTAACGGTATACGAGACACTTATTTACTCCAACACTACTTCTTGGTCAGTCCTGCTATCTCACCTTTTGTGAGCCGAAAAAACCCGCTTGATACTGATCACTCACTGTCCAACTCCATCCAGTAAACACTTCTATGCGGTGACGTCAACGAGTTACATGGTGGTCATCTGTTAGGAGATTATGTTAAAAAAATAAGTTTTACAACATTAATTATTATAAAATGGCAAAATGCTTAATTTTTTCGGTAGGGATAATTTTTATAAATAGTTGCAAATGCTTATAACGTGTAAAAACTTTATTAAATTTGACCCCTGTGCAAATATGACACAAGACCATTTTTATCTCCCCCAACCCTAGACTTTTAACTACCAAAATTTAATAGTATTATTGTCCCTTATATATATAAGTTATCTTATCAAATTTCATTATCTAATCATTACCCCATCTGAGATATTAAACTTAAATGCGCCAAAACGCTCAAACGCACACGCACGTATACACATAAGGTACATACGAACATAGATACAGGGATGGATCTACATAGGAACTAATACGGCTTAAGCCCTGGGCCCCAAGTGTCAAGGTCCCATAAATTGAATTATTATAAATTTTTTATATTTTTTCATTAAGAATGATCACATATCGTATAGTAAAAATATCTAATATTAATAATATAATAATAATTTATAGTATTATTTGTATTAATGAACAAAGTATCCCATTGGACTTCAACAAGCCCTACGCTCTGAAAAACCTAAATCCGCCCCTGTATACATATAAGTACATGTTCTGGGAATTTTTTCTGTTTTCTTGACTTTTTTCGATTCAGGAGTCACAAAACGCGATTTTCACAAAACCAGAGGTCAAATTTGGTACTTTTCCGATACTTTTTCCTTTTATACACACAACCGGAAGAAAGTAAACGAAAAAAATAGTTAAGATACAATAAGTTTGGTAAACAATGCCACAAATTTCTTTTATTTTCCATTTTAGTTATCTATGTTTGTAGTGCAACTATGAGATTTTTCATAGATGTCGTCGTTGAGTAGTTGGATTATCTGGTGCTGGTGAACAAAAACTTTTATAAAATGCCTCACTATATCCGATGTTGCAATATTTTATTTAAAATCAAACTTTTAATGTAATAGGTTAATTATATTTTTGAATAACCAATATACAGATTTTAAAGAATGTTTCATAGATTTAGATTTATTGAAGAATTAAGTAGATACTAGTAGCAAAGTAGTATTCGAAAAGAAGTAATTGCTGCCTATCTATTTAATGCTGATAATTATTTAAACATTTTTAGAAGTCCACATCAGGCGTAGCTAAAGAAATAAAAAATTACATAGAATTCATCGATGATTATTCCAAGATGGAAGAAATTACCAAACGTTTGCAACAGGGCCGTTTTGCATACGTAACGAATGAACATTGGTTCAAAAGACGTTATCAAGATCATTTGAAAGGAAAAATAGTGTTTAGTGAAGACGCAATTTTAACAATAAACGTGGCATTTGCTACAAGAAAACATTTTCAATTTCAGGAAATATTGAGTAAAACGTAAGTTTTTTAAAATTGTTTTTCTTCTTTGAATGTATTGCTTTAACGATATCTTAATTTATCCATAGAATAAACCGCTTATTTGAAGCTGGAATTATTGATCATCTCAACGAACGTAAGTTTAAAAAACTTTATTATGAAAATGATCACCGAATTCATCCTTTAAGTTTCAATGAACTCACTGGAGCCATGGTACTGCTTGCAGTTGGATATGTAGTGTCAATTGCATGTTTTTTTGTAGAATACATCATCGGAATGGGTAAAAATATTTTCCCTTTTCTTAAATAAATAATTTAAAGTTTTATATTTTGTTGTTAATAAAATATGAAACAAATGCAATTTGCACAGGACGTTTTAATCCTAAAGATATGCAATAATTATGTTTTTCAAAATTTCATGAAGTCTGTAAAAATTTAAATTTTAGTTTTGTTATAGAATTTATTAATATTTGAGTTAGAATTGTCTAGAAGAACACTGTTGCTTGTAATTTGTTAAAATTTAAAGTTATAATGAATGTATTAATGTAAACACAGTTTCGTTTTTACACGGTTCGTACGGTCCGGAAAAATCTGTGTAAAAACACATTATCTATACAAAAAAAGTTTAAGATTTATTTATTTATTTATTNATAATAAAAAAAATTATAAATTAAGTAAGACAACAGATACATTATATATTATATAAAATAGATTTACATTTATTTTTAAAAAAATTAAAATCACGATATAGATAAGGTTCAACAGGCTGTATGTGAAATGCTATACGGTAAAAAAAAATCTTTGGGAAAGAGAAAGGCGAAAAAAAGGGATGAAGAAGCATGATGTATTACGAGTTCTTACAGTAGGGATGCGGAAACCTAGCCAGTAATTAAAGATTAGACCATTGAAGTATTTAAAACAGAGAATGCGGTCAAAATATTTTAAGAGATCAGAAAGATTTGGAAGACCAAGGCGAACTCTTGCCACATCGTGGTTGTTTGTAATTGGTAAATTGCAGAATTTGTGTATCAGAAAATAAACTTTATTTAATTCAGATTGTATTTTTTGAATCAGATAAGGGGCAGCCATGGCCCAGACAGGTAAACAATAATCGACTATTGATTGAAAATTAGTAAAGAAAATTGTTCTGAGTACGGTCTTTGAAGAGATATTTTTGCAAAAACGCCAAATAAAGCCACGTCTAATTGCAAGAGATTTAATAATGTAAGAGATATGATCATGGAATATTAATTTTTCATCAAATATAATACCAAGGTCACGATGAGACTGGACATAGTTTATTTTAGAATAATCAATAAATATGAAAGGGTGGTTGGGATTGCGAAGTAGAGAAAAACACATAATGACAGTTTTATGAATGTTGATTTTTAGATTATAACTGGCAAGATTAGAACGTAAAGAATTGACAGTGATCTGAAGGGAGGAAGGATCATTGGATAAAATTTTGATGTCATCGGCGTAGGCAATTACTTTAGAGTGGTGGTTGGTTAGTAATTTATCTATATAAGCTGAGAAAAAAAGCATGCTTAGTACAGATCCTTGAGGTATGCCACAATAGGAGAAAATTGGAGATTTGAAAACAAGGAATAAAATAGGAGATTGATTTCGTACCTTAAAACCCAGTAAAAATAATAAGATATAGCACAGTTTTTTTTCAACCGGAATGCCGCGGCACCTTAGGGTACCACGACGCCACTATTGGGGTGTCGCAAAGTTTAGGGCCTTTAGTCATTTTCTTGGAAATTTACTTAAGTGTAGTTCAAAATAACTCATGTCAGTTCTATTTTGCTACGATATATCTAGTAAGCAGAGAAACGATGACTAATCGCATGTTAATGTAATGTTCAACGCTACGTGTACGCACGACTTGTCACGAGTTCGCCCAAACCACATTGCTTGGCCTTTACATTCCCAGTCCCAGTACCGGGCCAACCAGCAGAGAAGAACGACATGGACACTTGTGTCTTGTATATACTTTAAAAAGCGTTGTATTGCACTTTGAAAAGCGTGCACAATGTAGATGCATATTACAGTAGTTTCATAGTATTCAAAAACAATGATGACAAATAAACAATTTATTATCATTTTTTTAATTTAAATTTTTTAAATTGNTGCTACAGGTCAGAGGGAGTGCTCCACTAAATGTAATGTCATATATGTTATATGTTAGAATATAACATAAATATATGTTATATTCTAACATTATATAATGTTTGATATTAAAATATTTTAATAAAACTTCAATAGAGTTCTATTGATTAATGCCACTCAACTAATACATTTTAGATATTCTTTTCTATTTACATGTTTTTATCCATTACGATAATCTATACTTTATAAAATGCTTAATGGATTTATTTTTAAAGTCTGCGCTTTTGTATTCTATTTATTTATATGTATTCGGTGATTTATATATGGAAATATCACTTACGTGTTTAAAAAAAAACATGTGAAAAATTGCGTGACCAGTTTTAATAGCTGATCGCTTATGCTTTTTACTTAATTATATTCGACTAACAAAGTTTATTATGCGTCAAATGAAGAGTTATGTATTAAAATAGTCGAGATCAGAAATATAACCTCTACAGCATGTTTATCGACAAAAGAAAGGTGAGAATTTTTCTCGGGCAACAGAAAGTCATAGTTAATTCTTAACGAAAATTAAAATGTAACAAATGCTTTTAGTAATACATAAGCTTTCTACTTATTTCGTTCGTAACAAAAAAGCAAATGATGCATATACCGAAACGCAAAATGCTCTTATTCTAATTTTAATCGTTTTGCTGAACTTTAGAGCAAATTAACGTTTGTCTTTTTACAGCAGTAATGGAAACCAAATATGTTCAACTTGGTTAAAACATTTTGGTATAAACAACTAATTATGAAACTAATCATGAGTATATTTACATTGACATTACTAACAGTAATGACTCTTTAAAGCACAAATGCCTTACAGATATACTGTTAAAATAATCAGATTAAAAAGCGATCAAATTAATGATAAAAAATTTTTTTATATTATTGTACTTTTGCTGATAATAAATTGATCTTTTTCTATAATACTGTAACTATTTCTTACCACCGTAATCACGTTTTCAGTAATAAAGTGTTATTCAGTTTTTTTTTTTTTTTACTGCATAAATATATTTCCAACAGAAATTACTCTTATTTTTGTAATAACATCTGATAATTTATTATTTGTTTTCCCGAAATTTAACGTTTTTCAACTTTTTTTACTATTACAGTTGAGGGAAATCATTCCTACCAATGGATACTGGCTGCGATAAAGGTAATGTTCATAATATCGCATTTATAACACCAATATACAGTACATATTTAAAATGTCGCTATTTGTTTTTCAGAAACCATATCTCGTAACACTCGATGAATCTGAAAATAAAATTATGGGAAGACATCGATTTAGAGTTATCAAACTTTTTCAAGATAAATTACAATTTCGGTAATGTAATAATTATTTTGAATTTTGTTTTATTGTTTATTTATAAGTAAAAATAAAATAATATAAAGAAATAAGGTATAAATATTGAGACAATAAATATATTAAATAGTTTTATATTAATATGTTAATGCATAAAATGTTAAAATTCCATATGAGTTCCGTTGTATAAAAATCTAACGTAATTTATTAGGAGCTGATTCGATCGTACATATTCATATATGAATTTCAGAGAGCATTGCACGGACGAATTTACATATAAATATATCAGACTGATTCTTCTTATATCTACTTATTTCTAACGGTGTATAGCCTTTATGGAAATCAGGACCCAACTTTTGCATTTAGAGGCCTTAATATGAACTCTGTATGAGGCACTTTTACAATTTTAGAAGTCAATCATAAGAAAAAGAGAAACAACATATCAATTATTATAATAAATGCTTTATTGGTGAAATGTATATCCAAAATATAAAATAAGGTACAATTTAAAAAATAAAAAGTAAAATATATTCTGTTGAATTGTATAAGAAAATTTTCTTACAAAAATAAACTTTAATTAATTTTTATGTGTATAAATTCTTGAGACTCCTTGGGACTAGAGACTGTTAGCTGCAGCTTAAATGACTTACTTGTAAATTCATCTATTATGGAAGTTACAGTCTTATGCGTAACACGGCCATATTTCCGTATCATGGTAAATGGGAAACTCCTTTTTCACCGATGAACGAATATTCCTATTATCCGATTATATAAACTTCTCTGTGTATTCGATGACATTTTATACTTCCCTCTATATTAACAAACATAAAAATATAATCTATGCGTGTGATAATATATGGATAATACTTTAATGTTGAAGAAATTGAGAATTGGGCATTCAAAAGATAAATACTTCATTTATCTGTTCTGTTTTAGTAGGATAAACAACTTGTTTTCAAAAATTAATACATGCAATCTAGCTTTCTGTAGTCATTTTTGTTTGTGCTTTTTCCTGAAATTTTATCTGTTTGCCTATCTTTACAATTTATTCGTAGGATGAATGCGACTGTTCGAAATTTTCTTTTCGAAATAAATTATTTCTAATACATCTTGCATGTAGTGTATTTGCGTAACTTAGTTTTACATAACGTTTTGATTTATCCAATTTCATACTCAATGAAGTCAGTACTAGATTTTTGACACAGTCTAGAGTAAATATTGTTGACACTAATTTACATAATTTACAATAATATAAAAAGTTACTTCGGCTAACAGATAAGTTTTTAGCTTTCTTGCCCAATTTAATGTCTACTTTATTAAAGCAGTCTGATCGATTATAGTTTATTTTATAATATTTTTAAATTAAATTATTATTTTATGCTTACATAATATAAACACATCATCAACTATAACATTAAAGTGTTCTTTGTTTTCAATATTCATATTTGAAGAATACCTCACATTATTTTAAAAGTTACATAACGTTACTTCTTAATATGAATGTATAATTTTTCATACAATTAGTTATTCCATTGCTAAGCCAGTTGACGATTACTTCGGGGGATTAAGCGAAAATGAAACATGGACGAAAATGAAACATGGACGAAAATGATTAGAAAAGTGAATTGGATTGCCATACAAGTAATTGAATTGATTCTAATCTTATTCATTGTATCATAGCTTTATTATAATTACTAACTTACTGTACAATTGATCTGCAAGTAATAATTTAATAGAAATAAAACTATTACGTGAGGTTGTTAGCATCTAAATTTAATTAATGAAACACATGAAAACTTAGCACCTGTTTTGCATATAGTAATTCTTAAAGTACTACTCTTTTAATAAATACAGTAGACCCCCCTATAAAACTAATTCCTATGATTACGATTTCTATAAAACTGCGAAAAAATTGCGAAAGTATCCGTAACAAACAGTA